TCTAACCATTAGGCCACTATGCTTTATTATGATTTTTATAATGCGGTTCATGAATTCTCGTCAGTGGAATGCGCCACTTATATATAATGGAGTAAGTTACGAGGAATCGTAACAGCCCTGTAGTTATGATTCTCGTTGTTGATTTTCAGTGACTCCAGTCATTTGATTCAGACCAAAAAAAGGATTTTCAGATTCTGATTCCTTCATTGATGTTACATTTACGCCAGTAGGTGGCAGCAAATGAGCGAGCCATCAAAACAAGCATTATTATCTTTTGTTAAAATTTTCTTAACAAATGACAACAAAATAGATCTATTTTTCCTTGTTCCTTTATTCATGAACACAATAAACACAGACTAGTTCTGCATAATTCTAGGTGGCAGATAAGTATTTTCTTAGGGTGGCAGCTGCCAACGAATGCCACACCATTTTCCACAAGTTGGTGATTCTTTAGGGCCTTCATGAAGTGTCTGTAACATGTGGCTCGGAGGTGGTCTTATTCAAATAGCTACATAGAAACTGGCTGCAAATTGAAATTTCTCACTGGATGACACAGTTTCAGACTCAACAAACTGGCTGCTTGTTTTCTTTTTAGCTTTTCCGAGCTGGCAGACACACCAGAAACCTAACTAAATGCAAAAAAAAAAAAACACCCAAAAAGTGAAAATTTTATTAAATTTCCCCTTTAAATGTAAATCTCTGTGTTTGTGTGTGTGCTGTTGAATATGGATATTGAGTATGGAGGAGTAGTGATCACATTGTGGCTGTGGGCTTGTTAGGGTAAGGCCCCATCCACTTCTCCCCTGGAACACAAAAGAAAGACAGTGACTGGACAATGAACAGTACATCACCAAAGATTTTATGACTTAAACATGCACAACAAATCATCAAGAAAATTGTATGGTAAATATAAAAATATAATTAAAAAAACTTTTAATAAACAGAACAGCTATTTACTCCCATTCACCCGTGCTTTTCAGTTGTCCATGATTTCTGTTCTTAAATCTGTAGTCAGTTTTTCCAACATCCATGTAATTATATAGCTAAATATAAACTATGACTGGAAAATGTAGACACAAATTAGCACAGAAGATTAAATAACAAAGCATTAATAACATACCATACCTTGCTTATCTTGCGAGAGATAAATGCTTTTTAAATAATTGTATTGTTTATTATTTTTTATCATGACAGTAATTGGAATAGCCTTTCTAAAAATAAAAGGAAAGTGTGTAAATAAAATGTGTAAATTAGATCATGTAACGCCCCTGTGGACTGTTTATTGTGGTTTCTTCCCCTTTTGTTGGTTTAGCCCATACTATCATTAGTTAATTACCCTCATTGTGCTCACCTGTCTGCCACTAATTATCCACCCTATATCAGTTCCTGTCCATTGTGTTCCAGTTGGTCGGTTATTGTGAATGTTACCCCGAGTGTGTGTGTCTCATCTTCCTGGATCTGCCTTGTTGTGTCTACATTAAATATCTTTATTGGAATCCTTGTAGTCCTCGTCATCCTGCCTGCCTCCACACACCGTGACAGATCAATTGTTGGTTAATTGGTTAATTGTGAACATTCCTTGTTTATAATTACCAATGAAATAAGCCATGAGCTCAAATTTGTCAGAACCAAAGAAGACCTCAGCCTTCCCATTCACATGACACACGATGAATGGAAGACCAAAGCACTGCAAAAATGGGGAAAAACCATGTAAGGAAGTTTTATATTTTAACCACAAAGGAAGAGGGTGCAGGGACACAAGTAAAATTCACACACTTTATACTCCAGTGCTTCCCGTGTGACACTCTTCAGCCTGTCTTTGATTGGCTGAGATTTGGAGAGAGTCAGAAATTCCTCCAACTCATTGGCTGAGAGACCTGCTTTTAATCCTGCCTGAGCAGAAAGACACTGGAGATTAGATTTAATTATAGCTAAATAGTTTTATTGTCTCAGTTTAGCATAGATAAACAGGCCTGTCTCCATTTTGGTGCTAAAATAAATAATAACATTTAGTTTTTATTCATCTCAGTTGTAGGATACCTCAGTGAGCGAGGAAGGCTGGG